AATCGTGTCTTCACATGTGCAGCAAGCAGTTGTGGAAGAAGTATTCAGATCCTTTACTTAAGTAGAAGTACTATTATAGTAATGTGAAAATACTCCATTACAAGTAATAGTCCTGCATAAAAGGAAGATAACTATTATCAGCAAAATGTATTTAAAGTATTATGACTCTGCTTGATATATTATTGTTATTAGATTATTAATGCCGAAGCAACAGTGTGTCAGCGGCTTGTTACTGTTGAACTACAGTTTTATAAACAGGGAATAAATCTGAGAGGTCATCAGATGATTATTAAAAGAGAAAAGAAGTCAAACAAAGTTCTGATACACAGATCTGTTGTCAGGTTTTGGACTTTTTCTCTAATCTTTCATTTTTTTGGTGAGATATTGGCTTATTTGGACATTTAATGAAATAAAACAATGTCAGAAGTTTAAAGTTATTTTTGTTTTAAATCGTTGCTTGGTGGAGCTGTTAACAACTCATAGACATCTGAAATGTGACCAAAACACAAGAAATCAGAAATCACCAAAACAGCTGAAAACCACTGGTTTAATCTTCAATAGTGTTGTATTTAGTTTGATTATATTTAGTTTTGATTATCCACTGTGTGACCTCTTCATCATATGAAGCAACTTAAGCTGTGAAAACACAAAAGAGGAGAAAGTGCAATATTACTCTTTGACACGTAGTAGAATGGAAGTATAATGTATCATGAAATAACTTAAGTAAAGACCAAATGCCTCAAGATTGGAACTTGATAGAGTACTTGAGTAAATGTACTTAGTTACTTTCCACCATAAAATGTGTGTTTTGGATTACATTTGTATTTTTTGAGAGCTCACTCCTGTCAACTGGCAAACTGATAAATTGTTAATATTACTGAGCTATTGTCTTAGAAACACAATCAAAGTCTGATTAAGGAACTGTCATATTATTATCAAGGCCTTAAATTATTATAACGATCCTTGCAACCTCCACACTCCACTTGTATCCACCCTGCTGTGTTCATTAGGTGTATTACTGTATTCATCAGTTTGTGCTCACCCTGATCCTCCTCCCCGCACAGGCAGTCGCTGATGACACCGAAACCTGCGCTGAGCTCTTCCGGTCGGTCGCAGGAGCAGAAAGACTCCCCCGTCACCGGTACCGTGCCGGGCAGGGCCTCCAACTCGGAAACGGCCGGAGAACCGGTCAGGTAATCCACCTCAGGCTCCAAGTCACTGATCTGGTTGACACAAACAGCAACTTGTAAGTCCATGAACGTGGCCATGGTCCAGGGAGGTTGGCTCGGGAGCAGGGGAAGGAATTATTTCCAGTGAAGGAGCTTGAGGATTGTATTTAATAATTTTTGCAATTCCACTGGCAGCTGTGATGCCTTTTTGCCTTTGGTAAACTGCAGCCAGAGGAGAGTAACGGGTTGCCAAGCCTGGATTGAAAAGTCACAATTTGGCCATGCTGTGCCCTACAATGTAGAGAGCCGAATGAGAGCCCGTATGCCATGTTTCAACTAGATAGCCTCACCCCTAAAAGGTTCGTGTGTGTTATTGGTGAGAGAGGTCATGTGTAAGTAAGTAAAATTAGAAGCCTTCCAAAAATACTGGGCCTCCTGTCCTTGCCTTTGAAGAGCTGACCCGGTCTTGAACACAACCTTTTCAGACGCTGGACAGTCCCAGTGGAAAACTACTGGTAGAAATATTGTCCCAACACTGACAAAAACACTGGATTTAAACATTTCTTATTGGCCATCATATATCATGAACCATTCTATATCTATTTTATATGAATTCCCCATCTCCACTTCAGCTAGCAGTGTGCAACCCAGTTTCATCTTTTGTTGCACCTTACGAACCCCAGTACCTCACCTGTGGCCTCGTCTGTCCCTCCCACTCTTCCGTGTCTGATGTCTGGATCATTGCCATGACATCTGTCTCTTGCCGTGGTTCACTCCAGGCCAAATGCAGAGCCCGGCCATTCCTGCCTCTCCTCAGCATGGCGGCCCTGTGGACAGACAGCAAACCCAACACAAACACCGGATGACCAGGTGGCATATGTACAGGAGGCCGTTCACCCGTTTATTTATGTCAACTAAGGTCAGTGTTAAAGCCCTAGTTCACATCTGAGGTCAGATTCATTTTTGACACACTCTTAGCAGGTTATATTCAAGATAATTCACAACATGTCATCTCTGGAGACTTTATATAGTAAGGTTAAGGTGAAGACCTATAAATATTATATTATATTAGAGATAAACCTAACAAATCCATGCAATTTAAGGAAAACACACAAAATAACCTGCTGTTCTGGGCTGAAGAGGGTTTTCTGGTGATTAACAGCAGCCTGATTTAGCTAAATATGACTTAAGGTCTCAAACTAATTAAAATATGTTAAACCAGAAATAAGAGCAACTTGAATGTCTTATTTCTTTCTTTACAGTGGCAGCTTTTACAGGCTGACTGATGACTTTTATTGCGCAATGTATTTTGTTTTTTTTTTCCTCAGAAAGACACAAAAACATTCCTTGCATTTCCAACTTTCTGCTTAGAAAAGGTATGAGCTGCTTCACATTGCCGCCACGTTTCTCAGATGTCTCACGAACATGATTGACAACTGAAATTAGGTCAGTTAAAACCGTGAATAGCAAACAGTCACTGTAGCCATTCTGTCAGCTCAGCAGACTTCACTGACATTCATCACCAGCTCTTAGAGTTTGCATGAAGCTGCAAAACATCCTTGCAAGGAAACATTTGCAGCCACCTTTGTGTGTGAGCTTGCCTGTGTGTGTCTATCAGCCCCATATGCCACAGTTGGCAGCAGGGAGTGTTTCCACGCACTTGTTCCACCTTTAACCCAACCCTCTGCTCTGCCGCCGTGACAGCTCGTCTGTTAGATGGACACAGATAAGGTCGCCTGACCTGCTCACTGCAATGTGCACCAGCGATTTTAATACCTTATTCTGCTTTGATAGCATGTGACAGATGAAGTTGAGATTATTTTTTAGTGATTTCAGAGAAAAAGCAGCATTGTTAAGCTGGTTCTGTCATGAAACGCACTGTTACAAAGTTTACGTTCACTATCATGACTGTAAAGAACATTATTTTAGTTCTTAATTGGGCATTTTTGGGAACTCCACAACATTTTCTAGGCTTTATTACTGATATATTGACAAAAAATAGAACTGGCTGATATGCAAGCTTTTTAAAAATCCCTCTTTGTTGAACTGCTTCCCATTTTCACTGTCAGGAATCAGTGAAATTAATTGACTTGCTGTCAGTGTTTTGCTTTTCTGAAATGTGTCTCTGTTTAAAAAAGAAGAGAAGAAAAAGTCTCATAAAAGTTCAGAATACTAGAGATAATGTTGATTTACTCTGTACTGTACAGCTGACAGTTCAAGCCCTAAGCAGAGTCTTAATTTCCTGAACATGCTGCACCTCGACCTGATAACATGTCTTGTTAATACCAGAACTGAACACAGCAGCTGGTTGCTGCTTTGCAAGCAGGTGCAGGAGATGACTGCCATTAATTTAGATTAGTTAGTCTGGAGCTAGTCTTGTTTTAATTGGGCCTTACCCTACATACTGTAGCTGCATCATGAGTACCGAGCAGTCGAGGAACAAGTTTGTCAGCTGCTGTGTTGATGGATGTGATAATAATGCATTTGACTCTGAACTGTGAGATCAATATGAGTTACGATTATGAAATAAAAATGTTGAAAATCTCTCTGTTGTGAAATCAAATCACTTTTTTAGGGTCCGGCTCAGAGTTTCTGTTCTCATGCAACAGAATCTGATCCTCTGTTCACAACGTCAGTGCAGTAAGACCATCTGTAATTCTCACTGTGAGTCATTCTAGATTACATTATCTACTGGATATGTAAACCTCCCAGCAAGATCTGGTTGTATGATCAGCAAATACTCAACTGCAGTTTCACTTGAAGTTTGCTTTGTCATTACTATATACTAAAACACAACCACACACACGCTGTTTAACAAGACTACATCATTCTTAACAGGAACGGTGCTCTTACCTTACAGCAGTCTTCCTGTACACTGTCTTGCAGTGGCTCATTTCAATGCCAGTGTGTCTCTATATCCAACTGGGTGACAGGTGCAGTTTGCACTCTGTCCCACTTCCAGGCCACATAGACATAAACATTACCTCTCCACGCCTCCTTCCTGTGCTTATTGGATAAGAAGTTGCAGAGGAGGAGTTTATGTTAATTTGCTTAGTTACCTTTACCTACGTAGCTGGGGTAAATGGGATAATAACTGTGGCCTATTTCCAAATGAGGCATCACGTGAAGTGTGCTGACTTGTTAAAACAATGAGCTTTCATAGTGTGGTTGGTATTTGGTGATATTGTTCAGACCTAAAACACTGTAGATTTGATTTATTACATTTACTTTGACATCAGTATTTTCTTATTCTGCTTCCTATTATTTTGTTGAAGCAGGGTTCATAGTATTTAGAATTAGGATTTTGTAATAATCAGACAAACAGTATAATATTACATTGACCCATTTAAAGTAACAACTTTTGAGCCAAAGTGCTTTTCAGTTTGGAAATAAGAGGGGCACCACGAATTAACCTACCAAGTTTAAATATTGAGCTTAAGATCTTTATAACGATGTGGATTTACGTGAGCAATTTAAATACCAAGGATTAAAATGATATAAAATCCAATTATATATGACTAGAATAAATATTAAGGCTAGGTCTACAGTGGCACTAATCAGTCAGATTAAGTTGACTAATTTAGAACAAAAGCCTACCAAAAATACACATGAAAAACCGACATGTCTGAGGATTCCCTAAGAGCAAGTTTTATTTATTTATGTATTTATTAATTCATCTTTTACTTTTTAACTATTAATGTAAATATTAAACTGCTCAAAGACAAACGTTTGACGATTTGGGGTGCACCTGAATGCACCGTAATTCCTTCCGGCAGCCTATTGGTTGGTCTTCAAGAGGGGCGGGACCAACAGGCATCACGTGTTGTGTGATTGGTCGGTGGCGTGTGACGATCCCGGCAGTTGTTGATTCTTTTGCCGGGTGCATGTTGTAGCCCTGAATCCACAATATGGACCAAAATAACGGTAAGTCGAGGATACTGTCAACATTTTATTTTTTAAACAGAGGATTTGTTATTACTTGTAGCTTGTTCATTCTTACTGTATCTGTGTTTCTTCAAGCGAGGGGGTAGCAGCTGATAGTGAACTTAGCTAACTGGTTAGCAGAAGCTAACTGCTCAAGTTTTGAGGCATATTCAAGTGTGTCACCGGTTCAAACTGCTAATGTCTGCCAGAGATGCAAATATCCTTCATAACTGACCAAAAGGTTTTCCTATCCTCAGAGAAGCAAGACAAATATATAACTTAGTTAACACTTACGCACTTATGGTGAACTTGTGACCTCGGCTGATGAAACTTGACCGTCGTCACTAACTGCGACACTGTTCTCCAAACCAGAGGCGTTTTCAGGATCTCGTCACATTGGGGGCTTCACCCGGGCCAGCAGTTTGGAGATTTTAACCTGATAATTGCGCAATTTTCAACATATTTCCGAATAAAAATAAATATAAGGTGTGAGACACTGCTCTAGGCAAAGTAAGCTCATCCTACTTTCTTTCTGTGCCATATTAACATCACAGAGTCCAGGCAGAGTGTTTAGTAACACACAGGCTCAAACTGTGAGCCTTGACATCACTCCTGTTTATGAGGATTTACAGCTATAGTTACATGTAAAAATGTGCCTTGGACATACTTGTTTCCTTAACTTTTCTTTCAGAGTAAATTTGGTGATCAACCTTTTAGATAGTCTAGGAGAAGAGATGCAGGTGCTGGTGATGAGAAAACGTCCCATAACTCAATACCCCAAATAAATAACTGATAATAAACACAGCAAATCTGCTCTGTGTGTACAAAAACATTGTCTACAGTGTAATCCTGACTTATCTAACTATAAGAACTTACAATAACAACAATAACATTTGTTTTTATTGCTACTTGGCTGCTTGTGTAGTTATGGGATGGACCCGTACACATAATAAAGTCACTGCTGCAGTCCTGCTGTGAAACTGAAAAATCTCAGCAATAATTCACTTAACTTGACTGTAAAATTATTCCAAACCTTTTTTAGTCAACTTCATCACATTATTTTTTAGGAGCCTTAATTTGATTAGAATGTCAGGTAAACAGATGTAGAGATGTTGTTTTATTATTCCTAATTATGTTTAAAAACAACACAAACAAACAAACAAAAAACTATTTAGATCTGATGCCATAGCCTGTAGAAGCCAGGTCAAACAACACTACAGGTCAGAACCTTGCTTCTGATCCACTGCTCCACAAATCCACTACTTTTAAACTTTTTAGGCAGGTTTTCATGAATCTGTTGTGCTCATGGTGATGTAACCCATTTCTTTCTGTTCTATTTATATACAAAGAAGGAAACCTGTCCCATGTCCAGCGTGTTGTGCTGGTGCTGTCAGGGAAGGGCGGTGTGGGAAAGAGCACCATCACCACAGAGTTAGCTCTGGCTCTCCGGCACGCTGGAAAGAAGGTGAGCTCCATGATCGCATGTGCCACAGAACACAGTAGGGTGTCCATGTGTGCTGATATGCCATTATCCTATTAAAACATGGAGAGGCATTAGGAAATAGACTATACCTGATTATAATGCATGTATAAATGCATTACTTTCAAAAATATGTATTAAATAGTCACCGTGTTGCTTAGTCTTACACAGCTGCAGCAGTCACAGTCATTGTTACTATCAGCACTTATCAGATTTGTTACCCGCTGTACTAAGGCTGAACAAATAATATATTATTAGAATTCCAATGAAGTATTCACATTGCAAAAGCTGCAGTTTTCAATAAAGGTACCACTGTGCAAAAGGGACGCCATCGTTTTTACATTTGTTTAGTTAACAAGAAATGCAAAAATCGCCATTCCTTTTCTGTCGTTGCTTGTACTACAACTGCAACCCGTCAAAATAATCACGGTTTGATATTTTTGTGTATCATTTAGCTCTGCTCTGTCCACAATACCTGACTGTGTTCATGTGAATGTGTATAAATGGGCAGCATATACAAATATTTTAAACTGAATGAAAATATAAATACTAAAGGCAAATGGTGTTCTTTTCTGACTTAGAGGAAAAGTAAAAATGTAATGTCTTGGTTAGAAAAGGGTTAAATGTAGCTGAACATGTAGGACAAAGTTGTTGCGCTGTTTGACTGGTGCCACATTTTCAACCACTGAATTAATAAACTAAAGGACAACAATCAAAAAGCGAACCAGCACACAAACACTCCATTGACCGGTGACGATGAAAAGCCACCTTAAAAAGCAGCTTTATTCAAATGACATGATGCCACAGATAACAGGAGAAAGATGAGAACGCGCTGTTGGCTGCTGGATGCTGACGTGGTGTCACTTAAGGGCTGTAACCGGATGCTTAAATGTCCACAACGCCCCCATTTGTTGTCTAAGAAGTCGTTTCAGACAACATGGTACGACAGACAATCTGCCACATGATGCTCTGAATGGACGTGTATATAAATGTGACATCAGGTGATCCTGTCTGCCAAACTTCTCTCACACTTTAGCGTCCATTCTGTTGTAGAGACGCTGTGTGTTGGAACTACACATTCTCTTCTGTTTAGAAAGGATGGATAGACTTGAATTAAATATCAAATGCTATATTTAAGTTTTTATTCAACATACACAACTCTGCTCATCAGGTTGGCATCCTGGACGTTGACCTGTGTGGGCCCAGCATTCCTCGCATGCTGAATGTAGGCCAGACCGACGTGCACCAGTGTGACTCAGGCTGGGTGCCGGTTTACACTGATGCCCAGAAGAGTCTCGCCCTCATGTCCATAGGCTTCCTGCTGGAGGACCCAGATGACGCAGTGGTGTGGAGGGGGCCCAAGAAAACAGGTATACAAGTCCGCTACTCATCGATGACAGATTTTAAGAGCTCTGCCATGTGGGCACGACCCTCACTGGGACGTTCTGTGCCGGTACACACTGGTAGACACTCACACATTACGACCATGGCTTAATATGCTGCTGATCCTTCTGCTGATGTGCTGCCAGAAAAAGCTGAGACTCTCCTGTACTGCACAAGTCCTCTAAAAGGGGCACTGTGGTATCTGGCACCAAAAGCGTCAGAGCCTTTAAATCCTAAAAAGTGCAACCAGGAGCACTCCATAAGCCTTGCCTTCTAACACATCCCTGACCTTAACATGAGAAATTATTACAAAATATTTAACGTTATTTGCTTCATCTGTGAGTATTCAAATTATTCTGTCACCTCGATGCTTATTTTAGCATCACCTGGTAGCAAAATGATTAAAAACACTGTTTGTTTTATCACAAACTCGCATCGCTCCATCTAATTTCCTTGTCACGTCCCGTCCTGCAGCTATGATCGGCCAGTTTGTGTCAGATGTAGCGTGGGGAGAGCTGGACGTGCTGCTGGTGGACACGCCACCTGGGACGTCTGACGAGCATTTGGCTGTGCTGGAAAATCTTAAAAAACACCGAGTGGACGGAGCCGTTTTGGTCACGACACCTCAGGTACACTTTAGGCTCCAACCCAACTCCACTCAGGTGGAACTAAAGCACATATTTGGCAGAGAAAGAGGACGTTCACACTGATAAGAAGCACTCAGAAGTGTAGCTTTTCCTCAATAGGCATGTGGAGCAACGCGAAGGGGAAACTGTACAATGCTGTGCCTCTGTTGAGTAGGATTGACTTGTATTATGTTATGCTTAAATCCTCATTTTTGTCATCTTTATGCACAGAAAAATGCATGTTCTACTCGCACAGAGCAGCACAGCACAGTCAAATTAGCTGGGATTGTTGTGTGTTTTGTAGATACACTATCAAGAAACCTCTGCAAGATGCATGACAGTCTGAAAATCTCATCTTTTGTTGGCTACAGGCAGTATCGACCGGCGATGTGAGAAGAGAGATCACCTTCTGTAAGAAGACAGGAGTGAAGATCCTGGGCATTATAGAGAACATGAGCGGCTTTGTTTGTCCACACTGCTCTGTGAGTGAATACATCCTCATGAAACTGTAGTTAATGTGTCCATTTGTGACAGACTTTAACTGATTAGATTAAAAAAATATACACGTTTTACATTCAGCGTAGCCAGACTGTGTGTTTTAATAAATAGTTCTCTTTTCCAGGAATGCAGCAACATATTCTCAAAGGGTGGAGGAGAGGAGCTGGCCAAACTGACCGGATCAGTATTCCTAGGTGAGCTCAGTGGCGGTGAATTATTTGTAATGTTTACTCGCAGCCACAAGGTGTCAGAGCACGCTGTGAATGCACGTCATTCCTCAGCCACCATTCATGATTCTGGAGGCATTTACATCACTGCCATGCTGCTAAAATGGTCGATTTCAGTGCAGCAGCAGCAGCAGCAGGTTTGAAAATACCTGGTTGAAAGGTGTGATGCATAATAACCAATAATTCATGGTTAAATGATCATATAGTGGTTATCTGCCTTGTGTGCACATCAATCTCAAGTACTGATGCTGTGAATTCAGCTTAGACTGTGGCAGTGAGAAGGCAGATGTGTGACAGCGCTGCGTAGCTTCAGCCTGCAAAGGAAACCACACTGTAATCAGTTCAAATGTGTTGTTTGTGATAAGTCAGCAGCCCTGAACAGACATGTGATTCCCCTACTGTTTTGAGTGCTACTTTCAACTCTGTGATGTGTAGGAAGTGTGATATTATCTGAGTCTTCTTTGTCTTCTTCATTTCAGGCTCTGTGCCCTTGGACCCTCTTCTCAGCACCAGCATAGAAGAAGGCAAAGACTTCATACAGTCGTTTCCTGACAGTGCCACCTTCAGCGCCATTAGCAGCATTTCTCAGACTCTGCTCAGCAGCCTCCAAACAGCTTGAGTCAGGATTTTTTTTTCTACTCAAAGTTGTGCTTGTACCATAATGCAGAACTGTCACTTTTGTAGATGTCGCATTTTTACCTGTATAGATAAACATGATATGAAACATTTCCTGTCGTCACAGCTTTTGTTATTTAAAATGTGTCTGCTCGCGTCACAACACGGACTGTGTGCAGTCATCTCTTACTGCTGCAGTTGCAGATCTCGTGGTGTGAAGATTGTCAGCTCTCGCCGCAGAATGGAACAGGGAGAGAGGAACAGAGTCAAACTCAGCTAATCTTTGGTTTTTTTTGTATGTAATTTTGCAACAAAACGGTAAGTCATGCTGCGTGCATGAGATTGGCTGCATCACAGTAACATATGCAGCACTGAAGACAGTAGACTTTGTGTTTAGAGGCCAGTCAAATCTAAGTTGGAATCTTCTTTAATTCAGTTGTGAAAACATTCACGTCGACACATCAGGATAACTTCAATACCAGTGATAATACAGGATTGTAGATTGGCGCTTCAGTAAAATGCGTCAGCAGCAGTTCCATTTTCAGAAAATGAACTCCAGATCAAATTGGACCAGTCCTGGTATGAAACTAGGCCAAACTTGCATACTAATCTCCCTGGATTCCTACTGCATGCTACAAACGATATGTTCTGTAGTGTCAAATTGTTTTGGAGGGCATATGTGACAGAAAACTTTCTTTTTTTTTTTTGGATCTGGATTAAATCTTCTGAAACTAGCCTGCTCCTCAGGTTCATATTCCAACAGCAACAAAACACTGAAACCCATGCAGGATTTTAATGGCTGGAATGTGGAAGAGATGAAGTACAGCCACAGATGAAAGGGGAGGGGGAGGTGAATAAGATGGAGAGGAGATGAAATGTGGAAAATTACACTTGTGAGACCCAGCACGGGGCACACACACCTTTAATGCAAACAGCAGTACTACAGGAAAAACACTGAAGTTTGAGAATGTTTGCGTAATGATTAGAATACAGCTACACACAAAACTCCCACTCCACCATCAACATACTAAAGGCAGTCTTAATTATTTAACCAAGAATTACATCCAGAGGAAATCCAACCACTTATCACAATTAACCCACAGTGCATTAAATCTATCTATATAGATATTTATATGTCTGTATATATATATATATTTATATATATGTATATATCCTGGGGAATTAGAGACGTTTGCTGCATTAAACAGTTCAATGAACAATTTCTTATAAATAAAATCAGTGGAAAAAAATCTTTAGTCCATACACATTTCTCTTTACAAATAGATCCTCAAGATTAATGCAGAAATTGTGTCAACTCCCGAGTTGATATGGGAGGAGAAAAAGCTGTGTGGCCCTTTGGTCAGCTCTCTAAGACCAGAGACCAAGCTGCCTCAGCTGGCCTCAAAGCCTGAAATAAGTGGAGGGAAAAAAGGAATCTTCATCATACAATTGTTTTTTTTTTGTTTGTTTTTTTTTAAACACACGCACGCACACACACGCGCACACAAAAGACAGACAAATCACTACATTGCGCATTTACAAGTTGACTATCAAACTGGGACGACTGTACACATTGTTGAGATAAGACCATATTTATGGAGCCATTTTAATTCATTTTTTCCCCGCCTTCACTTCTTTCATCTTGCGTGGCAGAAATTTTTCTCTTTTTTTCCCCTCCCCCTTCGTTTTACACTTTTTCTCCAGCAGCAACGTAAAGGACTGATCTTGTAGTGGAGATGTTTGGGTGTTTATTTCGTGGAGAGAATGAGGGCAACGATGAGCCCGTAGAGACCCAAGACCTCAGCAAAAATCAAGATGAGGATCATGCCCACAAAAAGCCTTGGCTGTTGAGCTGTCCCCCTCACGCCTGCGTCGCCGACGATGCCAATTGCGAAGCCTGCTGCCAGCCCGCTGAGGCCCACGCTCAGCCCTGCTCCCAGGTGGAGGAAACTCCTACACAAACACAGGGACAAGCGTTAATCAAGATGTTGATGAGCACTTGATCAAGTGATCAGGGTTGACAATTGAAACGAGGGACAGGATCTGAGAGCATCTCTGTTCAGTGTCTGTAATGCATGATGGTAACCAGTGGTCTTTCATACAACAGAGCAGAAAAGCTCTTCCGCTCTTGAGCTTGGACTGAGTTTTCCCAGCTGGAATCAGTCTGCAGCTTATATTTAACCGAATCAGTGGGACTTCTGCTTGAGAGAAACAGAATATCTCATCCTAGTGATGCTCATTATTTTCTCTGGAAGTCGATCGCCTATTTTTTTTTGACAGGAAGACATACAAAAAAATGGGAGGTAGCAAGGAAAACACTTGCAGTAGAAGTCCAGCCGGCCGAGAATCAAACCAGGGACTCCCTGGCATTTGTACCTTGAACCACTTGTCCATCGGGTCACCCAGATTTGCTCCTACTCTTAAATTAAATGGCAGTAAGATGTTCAAGAATTAAGCCTGGTGCTATTACACAACTCTGTGCAGTGAAACTATAAGTAAACAAGTTTAAAAGGTCATATGGCAACATTATGAGACTTCTTTCATTTCTTTGTTCAGTGTACTCGTCTAAACTGCACATCAGTGCCAACACAGGACCCACATCCTGAGTTTCTGAGGTGATGTGGCCAGATGAAAACTGCAGTTGCTGAGATGTACTGGTTGTTCTTGTCAGTCAGTTTACGAGTATGACTGTCATTGATTTATGAGTTCATGATTAATGTACCTAACTTATGGTGGAGCTACACGAGAGACATGACAATATTTAAACATTTTAGTAGGAAAAGAGGCATTGGTCAGTTTAGGGGGATTTGTTGATACTAAGACAGCAAAGTCATCTTAACATCTGTGCACTGGTTTTGTCTTTTTATTATGGCTTATGCTAAGCCTGACACATGACATGACTGAATCCCTACTGGTTGGAACAGACTACGTGAGGCTCTCCTTCACACTTCTGCTCATAACTAGAAAGTTGCTTTCGAGATGCATCAACCAGTAAAAGGGAAATGTGTGAACATGTGACTGTGGTCATTTGAACTCACTTGTACAGGGTGATCTTGTCTGAGATGTTGTTGGCAATCAGCACTGCTACTACCAGGCCGTAGATGGCTATAATACCCGCCATGACCACGGGGATGATTGACTTCATGATGAGCTCCGGCCTCATCACAGACATGGCAGCAATACCTGTACCGCTCTTAGCTGTGCCATAGGCAGCTCCCAAGGCTGGAGGGAAAGACAGAGAAGATAATTGTTTAAAAAAAACCCAACAAGACAGCAGACTGGACAGCACAGGCTACAAGGCGAGCTCCAATAGGCTAGCGGCCTGATGACGGAAACCAGAGGGCACAGCTGAATAATGAAGCAGAAGTGAAATAAGAGATGGAGCAATAATACGACACAACTGTTACAGTTTCTGTTCCCCTTGAAAATCCAACATGGCTTCACCTGGGGAATTCTTATTGTGTTTAAAGGGAAACAATAGGTCACCAGTTCTATTCATGCAGGAGCCATGCGACCAAAAGGCGGCATTTTCACACATTTCGTCATTTCATCTCAAACTGATTCAGCCAATGCCATTTGCACAGTTAACGCTGCCAGAGTTGTAAATCACTCTATGATTGAAAAAAAAAAAAATCATTAGGTTTCTGGCACACATGGAACTGCAGTCACAAAAAAAAACAGAATACCAGAGACAGTACCAGTGCTGGATAGATACCGGGGGGGTAAGACACTAGCAGTTCATGCTCCTGCAGCATCTGCTGTGTGCTATATCCAGCCCATACTAGTCCCTGTGTAGCATCACTGTAATGTACTGGGGGAGGAGAAGGAGGAGAACTAAAAGCTTTATCAGCAAGTTTAGCTCCATCGGTCTGTGACGCTGAGGAGAAAGCACAGTGCCACCTGCGTCACACAGCCAAGTGGCAGGAGCAAGAGTGAAAGAGAAGATCAATAATTCTCCGGGTCTAAAATTAGAAACCAAAAGGAGTACGGAACAGCAGCCATCCATTAACAGCTGGTTGTAATTCTGCGCGACAACAAAGACGCAGACAACTTGCAGGTGAGGTGAGTGAGTCATTTGTAAATATCCGACAAAGCCTGTCAGAGCAGGGCAGTACGTCACAAATCAGATACGGGCTGAGTTGACAGGACTTCCTCGTGTCAGAGACGTGAGCAATAACCTGGAGATCAATGCAGCAAAACGCAACGTCTAATATACTGGTGGCTAATGTATGTGCCATCATGTTCCTCACTTCCACTATGCAGCGACATTAAACACCTATTGACATGCAAGTTATTCTAGAACATCGATTTTTTTTTTTTTTTTACAGATTTACAGATGCGACTTTGATGCTAAATATTACCTTTGTCCTCGTATGTAGTTGTTATGTTACTTATAAACAGAAGTCAAAGTGTCCATTTAACAGTCAGTAAGTCCCATGTAACTGAACCAAACATAACTATCCTGCAAGACAATACCAACAAAACCCGTACCCTTACATTTATGTGGATGCTTATGCTCTTATGCTGACCATGTCCTATTAATGCCGTGTAAACAAGGCCTGGCAATGTCATTTTCTTGGCTCTTCATAGGCAACATACTGATGATTAAATCTGAAAAGTCTCCTGAGAGATCATCTTGGGAGGCAGCCTTGTGCATACAGCCCGAGGTGTCCCGTAGAGCATTTCCTCGTTTCTTGCGTTCAAGCAAGCCTGAAGACGATTGTGGTTAACTGTAAGACTAGCTGTGAGGCTTTCTGGCAAATGGATGTAGAGGCAGACAGGGAGAAGATGCAGGACAATCTTCAAATGTGCTCATGGCAGCCGGCCACGTTCCCAACTGCTCGTGCTGATTTATCACCAGACTGATGCTATCCGTAAAGGTTAAATCACTCGTGTCCATCTACAGAGGTGTGTCAGTGCAACTGGCCACTTTTTTTTTTGCAAGCCACAAAAAAAGCAAATGAAAAACCGTCTTATTTTTTATTTTGACTTTGCAGAAGTCGTTTTGCTGGTGGACTACATGCTTTAACTCCAACACAAACTATGCCTACTGCAGCAGCTAATCACAAAAAAGGAACAATATGGCACACCCAATTAAAACTTCATCCAAAACAATCCTTGTAACATAAGAGGACTTGAATGTGGAGAGAAAAAAAGCAAGTTCCTCCAAGCATCTGTTTCTTTCTACCATTCAGCCATCCACTGATGCTGAGCGTAACAAGTTACCGTCAGTAATGCTATCCTTCGACTCCTCCTTTGTCGGTATGCTTGGCCTCACTGGGGTGTGACAGGTGAGGCTTGATACAGAAACACTGGAATCCTTATTCACTGTCATTCTGTCCCCACGATTAAAGGTCTGATGTGTGGCAGGGCGGTTTCTGCAGTGGTGTGGCACAACCTCTGGGTTTTAATCCTAATCCCCACAGCTTAGGTAAAGAGCTTTTACCCCTTTTCTTTTTCCCCCCCTGCAGAATATTTCATATATGGGATGCCCGTGTGACGTCTTGTGATGTCAGAGCAGGAGGTGCCTCCAGTCAGGGATGATCCTGCGAGCAAAATGCCCACGCATCCGACAGCAGATTGGTCTGCTCTGAGTAGTGGGTAAATGGGGAAGTGTTGGTTTTAGGGAACAAATATCAGAAATAAAAGACAATATCAGGAAGATATTGTGAAGAGCAATATGAAACTATTTGTCAGCCTAACAAAACTGCATATCGGCTATGCAATATGTACAGAAAGGAGGCTAATTGTAGAAATTAAAGAGACCTGCTGACTAATCCATTGCATCACAAGCTCAAATCTGTCAAGAGCACATATGCTGCCATCGCCAATTACACCTCTCCATCGAAGAGCGAGAGAAAGACAATGTGAATTAAAGGTCAAGTAACTGAAGGCACTGTTTAATAGTGACTAAGCAGAAAATAATTACTGAATTGATGACAAATTGTTTGCAGGCTATCCTATTAGGAACATGGGTGCCTACAGCTGCACAGGAAACTGACTGCAGAGCAAAAGATGCAGTTTCAAGCAGCAAGCACAGGCGTATCTTAACTTGTGGTCAGCTGACTAAGGTCATTTATCAATCATGTCAGTTGTTAAGAACATAAATTTGCATTATATTTGAACTGTTCTTGTTATGACAGCAAAGTAAGACAAGTTTCTGTAGCAAAGCCATCAATGAGCGTCGTGGTATTACACCCGTGGATAATGACACCTTGTGAGTGTCACCTGCTTTGAGGCAGGAATCTCTTAAGGCTGTCCTCTCAACCATCACTAGACCACTAAAACAATGCAACATCACCTGACACCGGGAGTCACAGCAACTTACAGTCTGTTCCTATAAACTGTCTCTTACTGTAAATGTGAAACTTTTCGCTTGACTAGAATAAGGGAGTTGTTTTTCTTCCCCATCCACCTATTTTGATGAATTTGTGATGCTTGAAGTGCAGCCAGTATTCCAATTTGTGTGAGCTGCAGACAATGACATGTAAGAGGCACAAGTAACTCCACAACGCTCTAACATTCTTCAAGCTGAAGCCTTTATCATCAAGTGTCCCTGTTTGTCCCACCACCACGTCCCTTCTTTGTGCCAGCATGATCCCCTCCCTACTAGCTAATTCCCCAGCTGTCACTTCTTCACCACCACAGACTAGTATTACTGCTAACCTCATAGGCTGCCACCACACCATTTCCGACACATTAAACTTGATCTACCACACAAACAGGACCGACTTTGGCATTTTGCTGCTGCTCATTTCAAAGTAGGCTGTACAACAATAAAAAAATAAATAAAAATGTTGCTGTACCATGGGACATAACATCAACTGTATTACATTGTTGTGCTGCCTGTGTTAAATCAGCAATTACTACTCGGTCATATTTCTCTCAGAACTTGCTTAAGCACCTGAGCTGAAAATCTGAGGTTTGAGAACGCCTCTAAAGATACCTCTACATAGATTAAGATCTTAAACAAGCGCCAATGATTTGCAATGCCTCTCAATAAAAACTAGGTGCCACCCACCACAGTAAACAAGCTAGTTCTGCCAAGCAGCCTCCAGCTACAGCAGGTTAAGCCGTCTGTAGGTTTTCAGTTGCTAGCTTGTTGATTTTACACTGGAGCTGCACCCATCACGGCAGCCATTCTCGTCACATGTGGACATTTTTCTGTGACAGGGAATACCACTGGCTTATGATACAGCTCTTGCTTTGGTTTAAAGAAGACAAATAGTAAACTAGGACAGAATCTAGAAAACAAGCAGTCTCAAAGTTCACTTCCTTCTTTGAGTACAAATACCATGACATCACTAGTGTTTAACCTGATTTACTTTGTTTTAAAAAAAACAACAACAACAACTATATAGCTTCCTTGTAGAGATGCAAGTCGTTAACTTTACAGTTTTAATTAACATTAACATAAGATCAGTAGCCAGATGGCAACCCCAAGTCAGAAGTCCCATCATGTGATAATCATGTGACCTTGTGTCATTCCTTTGAGGAATAAGGAAGTCAACCAGCTGATCGTGCTTTTCAGTGGTCATATAAGTTATAGCAGAGTGCGGGTTTTAACCGAAGATAACTTGCATAAAATTAGATGTCTCACCACAGATTTGACAGATGCAAACAATTTCCGTGGGAAAATATCAATTTAACTTTTCAAGTTAATGTCATTGGTTAAAGATCTCCGCTTTCAGGCATTACATAATTTAGTATTCAGCTTCCCACCTATTATTCAACACTTGTAAACCTTTCATGCACTAGTGTGGTATTCCGTACGAAAGGTGGGAATTAACCTAAGCTGACTCCTGCTAAATGCAGCAAGCTAACGAGCAGCTGTGTCGGGAGTGAATGAAATACATTAGAATACTGTAAGATTGAACACTATTGTTACCGAAAAGGGGCATTGCTTTAATAGTAAAGTTCCCATAATTGATCACTGGGCAGCAATCCCCGTCCTGCAGTCTCCCTTTAGATAAAGCACATTGGTAAATCGAAAGAGGCTAACGTCAAAGCTAACATATGTAGTCGTCATCAGCTAGCTAACTAGACCTCACTAGTCTTTGCTGATTGAAGCTGGAACAAAAAGGCTAGGAGCTAGAACTGTATTAAATAACAAGCATCACCTAGATATCAGCATGTCACTGTTAAACCAAAGCCACTAGCTGCATAGCTAAGTTTAAAGACATGACAGCACAAGATTAGCATTGCGACGTTAGCATGTGCTAGCGGATGGCTTTCATAAGTGAGCTACAAGGCGAGCACCACGGTAGACAATTAATTTAAGCAGAAAGGAATAGCAGCGAACAGCAGCATGTTGTAGCTAAGAAAGAGATTAAATAGAAAAGACGATCGTGTGATATTTACCGCTGAACACCATAGCCGCAGAGGCGCCCATCACTGCGAAGAACGGGGAGTATTCGGGGCTTTCGGCCATTCTTTCTCAAACAACAACGTACAATATAAAAATAAACTAAATATACAAAATTAATTCTTTCTGGTGAGTCCCAAAAAATCGCACTTGACGAAAACCTATCGAAGGCCACGGGCTTCACACGCAAAACCGAGTATACCAGGAACCGTCTGAGCACCTAACTAGCAATGTAAACGGAACAGTCACGACTCTTGTGATAAATACCCGGCGCAGCAGCACAAAATGGCGAAGCGGAAAATATCACCTGACTGGCCGTACGGATAAAACCTATCACTGACTGGGTGTGGGGGGGCGCAGTAAAACAAAGTTCGTTTATGATGTACTGTGCCTCGCTGAGGATTTATAAAACAAGAAGTGCGGTTTTAAAATAACAAATGAGCTTTTTCGTACAGAGACGGTGCTCAAATATGTGTTTATTTATTCATCTTTTTTTTACGGGTCACCCCTATCAGGCATCACTTTGGTGCGCTCCGCTGCAGGCTTTCCCTTTGATATCTACGCATTCACCCTTCAGAATCAGGAGGATGAAATGATGGGGATGAGCAGGAGGGTGTGGAGACAGAGCTGGTAGAAGATAAATGGTGATTTTTTTTATTTTTTATTTTTTTTTACATTATAGCAATCAACCAAAAATATTACAATAAAATAATGTCTTATAAATCTCAAAGGGCATTACCATATAAAACTTATTATATGTAGTGTTAATGATATACTCCAATGGGAACCCCTTAATTGATCTAAGTGACCTCTCCAGATTCTGACACCTCCATAGTTGCATATGGTGAAACACATGTCTGCACCTTGCACCAGGACTCTACCACGCAGCAGAAGGAGGTTTTACAATCAGCTGTGATATGCAGCAACGTGGCGTGTGAGAGTGAGAGAATTTGCGGCCCAGCGTGCACGGTTCAGTGTGTTTGGGGTGGGGGGAGGGAACCGAGAATCCCCATTCCACTGTATTAGCTCCCAGCAAGCGCGGGCTCGCAGATCCAGAAAGTGGGAGGGGTTGGAGAGAGGGTCAAGAGATCTGGGACCCTATGGGAAAGATGAAGAATGTGTCTGTGTGTGACTCAGAGGGAGCTCGTGCAGTCCCCGTGCCTCCTCCTCCATCCATCCATCCCTCCATCCTGCTCCCTCTGCATTGCCTAGTCAAGGCAGCACCACAGGACCCCTCCCCCAGTATCACTGTAAAGGCCCGTCACTCGTGATGCAGTTTCTCCACAAGCATCACAGGCCTCCTTCCTTTCAAACACGGCCAACATCTTACTCCAGCTGCATTAAGGGCCGAGAATAAATCATTCTGAGGCGGAGATGATGCTGGTGTGCAGTGATGTGCCAATAACTGAAAGGTCACAGTGAATGAGATGATGTGATTTTCATGTCTTTCTCTGATGACGGACTAAACACGTAGAGGGATGTAAGTCTTTCTGTTCGGAGCAGTGATACATACTCAGCAGCGGTCATTTAACAGCGTGCAGTAATATGATAGCTGATGTACCTTCACAGCGTTGTTTTGGGTGAATCCTCTTGTCCTTGAGTGGCAATAATCAATAAGGAGAGGACAGGAATACACCATGTTTGAGTGGCGAGTCTTTGAAATGCTGTTTAAGGAAGAGAAACAGTGAGAAATTCTCACAAGTTAGGATTTCATTAAGATGCTCTCCAAGGGGCATCATGAAGCAGGTAGATCTAGTTGTTGGGATACAGTGTAATGTAGTTCTAGATCCATATCTTTCTGGTGCTGTACATGTGATCAGACCAGGACTTACAGAACTTCTCTGTTTAAGATTTGTTCTGTATCGAAATAGAGGAAGTCACCGAGTGAAGGTCGTCTCAGATTTGGAATTTTCCCATATGTGACCAAAAACACAACTCAGAGTCTTTCATTTTTACTGGGATGAAAAAAAATTAAATCAGGTTCAAATCATTATAAAAACAGTCAGAATCAGACAAAAAAAAAAAGTTTTTAATGTGACATGAAGATTAAAACAAAAAAAAAAAAAAGAATTTTAAAGGATATATTTTAGCTTTTTTTTAAGTTTATTTTTTTAAAAACCCTACTCAGGACTTTTGGGGTCTTTTGGACATGGTCTTTTTTACTTTTGAAGACTTTTAAAAAAATATATATATGAGGAAGGACATTTGTCATGCATTTGGAACCAAAAATGCATCGAATTATCAGAAAATGCATTTAACGTAGTATAGAAGTCTGCAATGAATACCAACAAATATTTTGCACATATTCTTTCTTGGGGTCCAATGGACCCCAAAACACCTTCTACATGTGGCAACATGAAAGTCTTTCATGTTGCCACACGTAAAAGGTCTTCTAACCATTATTTTAATCAGGAAAAGTGTCCTTGAGATTTAGAATCTCTTTGACAAAAGTATCCTGGCCAGTACAAATTAACATGTTAGAGACACGTAACAACTGAAATAAGATTTACATTGAGGTTCACTGTGTATTCAAGTATCCTTGAAAACACAAAAATATATGTCATAGGTCATGAGTGTTAATGATCACTCAGAGCCAGTGTGAGTCAGTCACAACATGTACATCCCATTGTGTCTGTGTCCAAGTCCTCTGAAGCTGTTTCACTTAGTGAGATCAGCTCGTTAAGATTCAGGCAATTTTCCAGATAAAGTGTATTCAGCAGCACTGGGTAGCTATTCCAAGGAAGTCCTGTCTCCCTCCCTCCCTGTCGCCACATATTCAGTTCGTGAAACCAAACTACACTTCTTGGGACCTCCTTCGGCTCCTTAATCCTCTGTCCTCAGCTCCGTGTTAACTCTTGGGCGGGGTGATGGTGGTGGTGGTCAAGGAGAGACCCATCTCAGTGTAGAGTTAAACACTTAAGCATCTTACTCCTCGAGGCTGGAAAGCGTGGTTTTCAGGAGATGCGCCAGACCAACACCCAAAGGAGAAGCTAAATATAGCAGTGCATGTGCGATTAGCTGAGTGTGAATCCTGAATGAAAAGTACAGCCTTGGCAAGACGGAGTCAATGCCACTTACTGTAAAGAAGGAATTACTCCACCACTTTGCCATTTAAGACGCTGCATTTCTCCAGATGCATTTGGCCGAAGCGCACGCACTGCAAATTAATTGGCCGTACGTTTCTATAGAGCTGTAATGTATTGGCATCGATTGATAATGTCACGCTGAGACGTTTAATAAAACGTCTTGACGAAAGAGTGTCAAACTGTGTGGTGTAATGCAAGTGCAGAGCCTGTGAGGATTGTCCAGGTTCTCTATTAACTTCTGAATATGAAGGCAGAGCGCTTCAACAGACGTATTTATGGGTATATCTGACTAATATCTGCTGAATATTTTCCAGTCATGCAGTTCATTGTCAGCTTCCACAAAGGAGACATCCAAATAAAAATAGACCATGTGCATGAAGAAGCGCGTCTGAGTAGTTTAAGTCCTATTTTTAGTGGTTTAGACCAAAGCCTGTAGTAAAGCTATGCAGTTTATAACACTGTAATTTAATGTATCTACACATAATAATGTGAAGGTTTAATTAGGATTTTCCCTGCCACTGTATTCAAGAGAAAAAAAAAGGCTTTTTCAACAGGGTTGTAAACATGTGATTCAAACAAAAAGGTGCACAAGCAGGCAGGACAATAATTGTATGACATGGCTTTAACTATACTTACAACTAAAACTGCAATTTTCGTTCGCTGTCTAGTCAGATACGTCACTTTGGGAACAGAAAACTGTACCGTAACTACTAGAACAGAGCAAAACTCAAGAAGGAAGTTAAATTCATGGTCAGCTGATCTTAAAAAGGTATCTTGCACACTTCTGTGACAGCCTCAGTAATGTAACCCTCTCTCTCTGCAGGAAGCAAGAATGAACAGATTGGGAAGGAATAAAAGCAAGTAGCAAGACAACAAAAAGACAGAGACTCTACTGAAAGCATAATGCTGTATTTTCACATGTACATTACATTTGCAGTTACTCAAATGACACTTCACTGGAGCAACAGAACACACAGACAAGATGCGTAACCCCAACAGGAAACCATTCTGGACTTTTTTTTTTGGTTACTATCTTCAAACTGCAAAGGACGGAAGGAACAGGGAAATGGGAAAGAAGAGAAAAACGTTGCACAAACTGCATTGAACTCCATTACTTGTAAACATAAAACAACCTTTACCTTTTAAAATGTTTGTACCTCTTTTCCACACGAATACTCAGATACTATACAAAAGAGCAACGGTCACAGATTCAAAAAGGAAGCTTTGACATACAGTGCAAAATGGCAAAATCACTACTTATTCACAAACACTTATTCCATGAATTCATTAGCTCTCCCACCTATGTACAAGAAATCAAAAAGTGTGGGAAAATATGACAAGACTGCTTAGGTTGTTGCTGACCTGGTACAACTTTACTACTTTCAACATTCACCACGAGTTAAAGAATTGACTTTGCACATGCTGTAACCCTCAGTTTATCAACATGACAAGGCAAATTACGTTTCTTAGTGACTGCAGAGCTACATATACATTGAATTTGGCAGAGTGAGATAAATCAGAGAACATAAAATACTGAATTTACATTTACAAATCCAAATTTTAGCTTTAGCTCCACACGAACACAGTTGATCCATTTCCACTTCCACACAATTAGTACACCATCATATATATCTGTAAATACAAAAATAAACCGACAACAATCAAAAGAAAATCTCATTTTTGTTCATATGCTGAAATTAGAATAAACTGCATTAATAAATAAAAAAATAGCAAATCATAACTGAATTTGGAGGACGGATATAGTTCTGTTTGCATGTCTGTGTTTTCCATCTAATACACTTTGTTCGACATTTTAAGACTTTGTTTCACACATATGACATGAGTTTATGTTTTAATGTGTTCAGTGTAAGTGGGAAAGTGCTGTATGTTAAAATGTGTGTGCCTAATTTGCCTACATGTCTGTATGATGTATGGATGTGCTTGTAAATATGTGCAGTGTGTGTTTCTGTGTACAGCATTATGAGGCCATAGCATCCTGGAAGCCCCACGTTTCCAGCAGTGACACCTGGAAGGTCTCTGCACACAGGGGCGGGTTGTCAAAGGTGGCACACCTGCCCGTGCGTCCATGGTTCAGCTCAGCGTCGATGTAGAGCGCGTTGCCGTCACCTCCCCCTGATCAAACATTAGATTACAGGATCATTGCAAACTATCGAGTACAAATGCTCCATGTTTTAACACCTGGCTTTCACTTAAAACGAAGATACACGCTGTTGATGGGTCGTGTTTAATGTCGTGATAGGCTAACACTGAAATGTTTAATGTGTTCCCATGCTTTAAATTAATGTTGAATAATTCCCCTATTACCGATCATCATGGCTAAATAAAAGCACTACCATAAAAGGGTCCAGAAATGAGACATACACAACCACAGCCTCCTGTAATAATCCACTCACCCACAATGATGGAGTCAAAGTTTCCAGCCATGAACATGGAAGTATTCCTGGAGTTGAGGTTGAAGTGGCGGGCGGAGAGAAACGGTGACAAATCTCCAGCAGGTTTCTCTGGCTGCTGTAAGCTGTTGTTGTCTGTGTTTTGGTCCTCGGACGACGCTGTGTCCTCCTGACCCTGAGTCTTGATAGAGGATGCCAACTCCGGGTGGCGGATCACCACCCACTCGTAGCGCTCAATCTCTGGCTTCAGCTAATAAGGAACATGAAGGAGTGACTGCTACTATAAGGCATCCATCATCAATTACACAACAGAACAAATGTTGTCACATAAAATAAAATACCTAACGTTACTGCACCTATACATGGTGCACAATGAAATTACTTAAAATCCCAACCAGTTCCTAACATCGTTAATCAAAGTTGCATCATGTGCTCGTTTTGCTTAAGCAAAGCAATTTGGATAGTTACAATTGTTTTGTTCCTCAGGCTCTGTGCTCTTTATTTAAATGAATGCATTGTTGTATGCTTTTGCAAACTGCAACCTGGCTTTTTTGTTGTTACTTCTAAGCATGCTAAATTTGAGCACCACATGTTAAAATGAGTATATCTTCAACACAGTTCAATATTAACAAAAAGCTACTCAAATGTAGTTTTCATTAGTTTATTTCAGGTTAATGTGTTGAAGCACAGAGCCTGCAGAACAGCAAAAAGTGTAACTGCCCAAATACTTTCAGTCTATGCTAGTGATCCTTTCCCTCTCTTTCTCCTTCTACGTCTCCAACCCTCCACACATCTGACAGACATCAGTCCCTGCTGACTGTTTCTCATGTGTGGTGTCAGGTGAGCAGCAGGTCAGATACGACTGGATCAGGTTACAGGAGTTTCCGATCTGTGTGTGCTTAAGTATTAGTGTTTGAGATGATAGCGTTTTTCTAGTGTCTAGTCTCAGACAGCCAACAGCTGTGTATCAACATAGATAGCCACGTAAATAATTCATACACAAGGCATTAGAGACTCAGTTTTTTTTTCTTCCCTTATTTCTAGCTCAGGTGATATGAAAATGCACATTTGCCACCAAAATAGTATGATGTCTGCTTTTTTTTTTGCAGAGGAAGACATGACAATGTCTAGTGAATTGTGACCTACTGGGCAGAATTTTCTAAATGGGAGGCTGACAGGTCAGCTGGGGCCATGAATGAAAGAAGTGGACGCAGCCTCTGCAGCGTTTGTGGACGAGTGTTTTGAAACATGCGGTTTGGCTTTTTGACTGTCTCCATCTGTTTAGAGCCAGAAGTGACCATATGTGGATAAGAGGGTGAATTAGAGAAGAGTGGGATCTGACTGAGACCCCAAGGAGACTACACATGCCCAAACGGTGGCAACTTGTCTATTAAAAGGTAGCCACACCTTAAAACATATCTTCCTTTATCATCTAGTTTACTCTAAATTGGCCCATAATTTAAAAATGATCCTGCTGTTTTGAAGAAACATGATACACTAATTAGGACAATCTTTGAAGCATGGTGATTTTGTCACAGACTTCTATACAATCAGACTTTTTTTGTAGGCAGGGGAGCTGCTAACCATGAGAAAGAACGGTGATTTAAGGCATTTCTGCACTACCTTTACTATTTAGAGGCTATGTCCACTTTTTACATAGCGTATATGAATGGGGTCAATGACACTGAGCTCAAGAGCACTAAAACCAAAGTGAAGGGTTCCCTCTGGTGGCAGTAGTGTGGTACTGGTCAAAACACAGACATCATTTAAATGGTCCCTAAAAATATAAACATTCACCTTGATGAGCAAATACACACAAACTGAACTAAGTCAAGATACTGAACGTGAACTCACCCTGAAGACAAAACACTCCCCTGTGCCAAAGAAGCTCAATTTGTTGCCGCCTCTCTTCCGCTCCTCCCAGTCTGTGGACAGAAAGGCTCCACATACCTGAGGAATAAAGAAAAGGAAAGGACATAAGTAGGATTAATCTGTTTGATTTACTCACCTGCATTTACCTTATTCTCTAAAGTAGTTTTACGTTGTTGCCAGTGGAGGACAGTGTTCATGCACGGATCCCTCAGCGGCTGCATGTTCCAGTATTACGACACCTGTATAATCACTACCTTTGACACCAGTTTATCGACTCCAGAACACAAACAAGAGTTTATTTTGAAAGGCAGAGAGTGTCATGTCATGTGTAGTCAGTACAGGGGTATTTGTCATATACACCACATATAGTTGGTGTTGGGGTGGATTTTAAAGGCCAAATAACTGTAGTCAGCACAAAAATGTTTACTTTCTCCATCTGAGTCATAGCCAAAAGCGTTAGAAACAGGAAGTCACTAAGGCAGAATCTAGGTTGAGAGTTGTACCAGTACTCCCTTTCTATGTTGACATGTGTGTGCTTGTAGGCCACTGCAGTTGCTCTGCTCATTTTACACATTTTCTAATTTGTTCCTACAGTTTTATATTTCTCTTTTGTTACAGTTGTCTGGATTAGTGCTGGTAACTATTTTGAGCTGGACTATCTCTGGGCCATCGCTGGTTGTCTGACTTCTGCTGAAGTGAGAAGAAAAAGATTTAAGCAGCATATACGATTGAACCAGAAGTTTACATACACTGCATGAATAGACGCATAACCTCTTACCCTCTGCTGATATATTCTTTTTTTTTTTTTAAATATATGTATATACATTTTTGGGGCTTTTTGTCTTTATTTAGAGCAGTAGAGACAGACAGGAAATGGGGGAGAAGAAGGGGGAGAGACCTGCAGCAAAGGGAGTTGAACCCACGCCTGCTGCGTCGGGGAACTATAGCCCCTGTTCATGGGTCGCCCGCTCAGCTAGGTGAGCTATAGGGGCACCCGATATATTAATTCTTGATTCCCTCTAACAAAATCCTCTTAAAATTTCATGCGATATAAATGTTTTTGAGGAATCGTGACTGAGTTTGCTACCAGTGTGTGTTCCTTACATCGCCATCTGTGGTCCGGATAAGGAGCAGTGTGGGTTCATAGCCTTCACAATGTTGGTAGAATCTGGAGGAAAACAGAAAAGTTGAAAGAGACACCTAATAGTACAACATCTCCACTGACACAGCAAATTCTTTACACATTATTTCCATATTTCATGCAAGTGCCCGACTTATTACTCGTTTCTGGCATATGTTCTTTGTTTTACAGGTTTGTGATCATCTTTACCTTTTTGTTTATTTTCAGACTTTTGGCCATAAACCCTGTTCAAAGTCTAAACCAGGGGTGTCGACATCCGGTCCTCGTGGGCCGCAATCCTGCATGTTTTAGATGTTTCCCCTCTTCCAACACACCTGATTCAAATGATCAGGATCGTTATCAGACTTCTGCAGAGCTTGATGATGAGCTGATCATTTGAATCAGGTGTGTTGGAAACATCTAAAACATGCAGGATTGCGGCCCTCGAGGACCGCAGTTCGACACCCCTGGTCTAAACAAAGCTTGAGATGTAAATTGTGAACCGCAGCCAAAAACAGGGATTAACGTATTCATGTGAGCACTGGAAAGTGTACCTGTTCAAGCTGCAACCATGGGTGGAGGTGGTGAAAAGGAGCTGAGGTTGGCACAGGGCAAAGCGCTCGGGGATCCACGACCAGATGTCTCGCATCTCTTTGGCACTGACAATCTCAGAGGAGAATGTGTCAGGATTAAGTGCCAGCTGCACGTTCCGCCTGGAGATGGCCCAGAAAGTTGGACACAGGAAGAGATGGAGAGGTTCAGAATGAGAGGCTCATACAGCGAAGAGGAAATCACACAGCTGGTGATGCATAAACTTCAAAAGCCTAAAAGTAATTTAAGGTAGATATACTCAAGAGAATCATGCATGTATTTAAGAATCTGGTGGCAATAACCAAACATTATCACAGTGCATGAACACCTGCTAGCAGCATTGTAGCTTTTAAAGGATTCAAGGAAAGTAAATGAACATTTGAAAAACAAAAGAAATGGATCTGAGGTGTAGCATAGAGAAGAGAACCCACCTAGAACTGTAAAAGAACCAATGAAGTAAACACAGGGGTGGAGTGCAGATGAGACAGAGGATGGTGAATGGAAAATCGTGGCACAGACAAACAAAAGGAAACAAGAACAGACAGTGAGCAAAAGGATGAAAAAGCAACTTCAGCCATAGCCCAGAGCATGCCAGAACATTAAGCGTAAAAGAACGGGACAAGGCTGCCAATGAAAGAAATTCAGCAGCTTGAGGACTTAATAGATTGAGATTGTACTAAATAAAAAGTGTCAAGTGGTTCTGTGCTTTTGGACACTGCATGCTGCTCGTTCTGTGCATACTACTGTGATTTGATTTTAAGTCCAGCACCTGTGTTGTTTATTTAATCATGTTCAAGAATGTTCACTCTAACTATAGTAGTAGATTGTTAGGTTGACAAGCTAAGTGGAATTATAAATCATAAAAGGTGTCTTTACGATGCCCTTGTACTGCTATATTAGTTGATTCATGTGCTTCACTGTGTTTAATTCCCATAATGGACTCCTGACAAGACTTCTGCTTCAGTTTGGAATCAAAATTATACATTTAATTATAATACCCGACTGCAAAATCCAGTGAAAAGCTGAGTAAACAAATACTTTTCAAATGAAATGATGCCATGGACTTGATAACAAAAATATCAGATGTGTCGTGTACCCAAATACACCCACTAGAAGTCGCCTAGTTTCTAAATGAAAATGAACAAAAAGATGCTCACAGTACACCCACTACAAATCAAATTATTGACTTTACCGCTTCTGTTTGACAGTGATTCCTTTCTGCTGCAGGGACTTTTCGTTTGTGAGCTGCAGCAGGGTGATCTCCTTTCGGCTAAACAGACGGAGGGAGAACGCCTTCTCGAGCAACTTGTCAGGTGAGACTGTGGAGGCAATTCCTTTGACAAATGCCTGAATATCCGCCTTGATCTTGCTTGAATCCTGTTGTTGCTGGCTCCCTTGGCCCCCTTGGCTCCCTGCTTTATGCTTGCGATAGAACTTGAGCAAGGCTATAGCTACACGGTAGAGAATCTTGTAGCCCTCTACTAGGTAGACATCCAGAACCCTGACCATATGGCTAAACGGCAGGTCACCGAGCACCCAGCGCTGCCAGTCTGAGTAGACCTCGAGCACATCTTGGGCTGTGGCCACGATCAGTTTGTGAGCAGCCGGGCAGTACTTGTTGGCCAGGTCACCAAAAGTCATGCAGCTGGACTCATAGGCCAGAAAAGTCTGGTCTAGCAGTCGTTTGCCTGGCTCGTTGCAAGCCAATATGCGGCTGACATGCTCAAAGCATTGAGCTTCGTCTACGCTGAAGTGCAGGAGCAATGACGTAACAGCCGGAAGTGCTGGGCAGTGGGAGATATCTGGAAACTGTCCAGCCACACAGTTGATGATCTGATGGGCTGAAGCTACTGCCTCCGTCTTAAGGCAGTACCGTGGCACAGGACTTCCATCCACAAACTCTGGTAGTGGTATGTTGGAGGAGGGCTTCTTGGTGGCTGCATTTCCCATTATGTCACGATATACTTCTGCGTCTGGTGTAACTGTGCGACAGGGAATGGCTTTGATGAGCTGCTGGTAGACTTGTGCCCGTAGTTTGTGATTCTTGGCCCAGTAACCTTGTCGAGCCATCTGTTTGAACTCTTTCAGGTCTTTACAGTCTACTTTGGTGGGCCCGCTGCTCTTGGCCAGGTCCCCCATCTGGTTCCAGTCCACAAAGCTGCCATACTCTTCTTCAGCCATGATGTCAGAAACTTGCTGGACTGCCCACGTGGGAAGAGAGGAGATACGCTCTGAGGTATTCCTAACCGTCTGTCCTCCACACAGCAGATAAAAACTGTCTTTTTATTACCTGCCCATGGTGTTCACTGCAAAACACAAATGGAAAAAATAAAACATTAACGTGCATCATCGTAGTTTTGCCAAATGCTGCCAACTGCATAATTTGTTAGCCACCACTTAAACTAAGTATAATAATTAGATAAGGATGATAAATAGACTTAGGATCAGTGGACATGTTTATGTGTATCCGTTTCCATGGGAAGCCATCTGAGGGATGGACTATAAAAGGGTCACTGAAAATCAGTGCTGTGAAACAACATTAGCCAGTTTGAGTAATCAGATTCATGCTCATAAAGATCTTGACATAGAAAAATGCATGCACATAATGCATTTTGAACATCTATGGTAAAGTGCAAAACAAATCAAGTAAATCCATAGCTTGAATGGAATGAAGAGAAAGGCTACCCTAGTGAGATGACAGCTACAAGACAACTTCAGATGACCGTTGATGCTCAAATATATCTTGGGCAGATTGAATTAGCTACTGGAGTCTCTGCTGATGAGGAAAATAAATACAATTTGAAAGTACAACTGTAAAAGTTCACCAAACCGACTCTCATTAGGTCACTTACAGCCCGTGCTTACTCACAAGACAGACAGACATGCCTGTCTCAAGACCATTTGCTCTTTATGTTATACAGGGAATGGTTAACGTACACTTATAACATCATTTCACACCATTTTCCAACATGTCACACGGAGATTCATGTCCAAAGATCACTTGCAATATGCTGACCATGACAGTCATAAAATCATCAGATCACTTCACACGTCTGTGCAACAAGTCACATGGAGGTGAATTACTAGGTGTAAAACTGTAAGTGTTTATGGTGAGTCTGTAAAGATATTAATTGTCCTGCTTGGATGGCATGGTTACCAAAATGTTGGCCTTTATACTTTTGAAATTGGATGTAACTACAAAAGAAAAAAAAGACCCAACAGAAGAAATTTCAAGACTTTTCAGCAGTCCTCTTTATGCCATCTGTTCAATTAACACAAGCAAAGAATCTAGGCTTTTGGCTAAAATCATCTCAGAGGCTGCTGAATCAAGTGCCAAGTAACATCACTGCCATTTGGTTCTACTGGTCAGTCCTCATGGCTTACTGCAGATGATTTCATTTCAGTTTAAATTAGCGCACGATGACAACATAATTGACAACATAATACAATCAGGTACTGTGTGTATCATGGTCTCTACTGATAGATAGATAGATAGATAGATAGATAGATAGATAGATTTTTAAGTTTAAAAGTGCTGATCCTCATTCACAAGATTCCCACATATGTACAGTTTCAAAAGTAGATTTTCTACATTCTTCTGGTTGTATTTTTAAGGTTTCCTGGGTAAGCATTCATTAAAGCCACTTAGAGTCTTCTTGCGTTTGCCATAACATGACTGAGTAATGTGATTTGGCCACATTGCTGCACACTCAGCAATGTTCTCCGCCAATACATGTACAGGAGGAATGACAGTTGGGTAGCAACCACATTATACGTGTAAAGAGCTCATTTGCAAAAACAGATAACTCCATTTTTGGAGATTTTCAGAAAACTTTTGTTGTTGTTTGCTCGAGATAACATCAATCAAACTGAAGATGAGCGGATTTGACTCTGCAGAAATGACATGACAAAAATAGAGATTACTTAAGTTTGACGATGCAAAAGTGGGTTTTCTGAAGGTTTGAGAAGATGGAGTGATCTGTTTTTGCAAATGAACTCTTCATCCATTTAGCACTGAACGTACTCTCATCAGTATGTGTTCATGCATGCATCTACAGCAATACAACTGCATATTTCTAATGCTGCATGTTCTTATTTTATTCTAAGACGACTCATCTATTAACATTTATAGGTGCTGCAGGAAAAATAAGCTGTATGCTAGCCTTAAAGGAGGGCTGACACATTACACTGTAGCTCAGTTAAAATGGTCAGACAGGGTTTGGTAACGTTACTGTAGTCGAATAAAGGCTCTCGGTTACCTCCAGCAAATGCACAGAAATGGCTGAACACTACAACATATCGTGTCAACACAGCTGCAAATGCACGCAAAGCTGCCTAAACGGAATATATTTATAGTGGTGTAACCTTTGAACGTCAGGTGAGAGTAGCTAACACGGCCGAGGAAGCCAGCGGACACGGGTCAGCGGGTATTTAACGGTACCGCTGGAGTAAAGCTGATAGACCCTTTTCCATTCACACTTGCCAAGTTAGCATTTGCTAACGCTAGCTAGCAGCAAGCTGCTCCTGTCAGTTCATGTCAGCGGCTAACGAAACCTTAACCCGACACACAGAGTTAAGTGTCCAACGATAAAATGTGCAAAACGGTCAGGAAGCCATGCAAATATACGTTAACACAATGTTGTGCTAACGTTGCTGCACCAGCTAGCATAGATGGTACAACCCCAAATTAATGTGTCTGTCTTGGAGTTTGTTGTATGAAGAGCTTTTAGCATTTTTTTTTATTTTTTTATTTTTTAGAAAAGCGATTTATTTACACAAAAACCGACAACGGGAATGGGAAACACCCCAGCTGCACAAGACTGGTAAGCAAATGATAAACAGCTGATAGTAAATAAACGGACGGTTTCCTACCTGGACGGGAGATGTCTTGAGACGTGAAGCAGCATTCACGTTAAGTTGCCTCGAGCATGCGCAGATCCTCCGATCCTGGTCACTGAGCGTGCAGCTGCAGAGGGGGGCTCAGGTGGTCTGGATAAATATGCACTGTTTACATCCACTTTTCTGTTTGTTTATTCATGACAAAACCTAACTACAGGTAAATACACATTCCCTTCACATACAAATATCTATGCAATTCCATAAACTTCACAGGAACACCATCAGGTATGAATACCACCAAAACACTATAATGTCCTGCTGTGCACCAAAAAAAATAACTAAAAACAAATAAGCTTTTCCCTATTGCTTTTCTTGGTCCACTTCTGGAAGCCAGATTCCACTGCCGTGACCATGCAGTGGCTGCATGGCGAATTCCAGTAAATTCTAGTATCTGATTTTCCCTGTTTACTTGCAGACTTGCTGTGTCAAATGAACGGTGGGACTGGGACAGCACAGGACAGGAAGTTCCCTTGCAAGGGGCAACAAACCCTGCCTTTGTCCAGGACTCAAAGCGACCGCCAAAACACAACCTCCCCAGCACATGACAGTTATTACTGATAATGAAATTGTGGAAGCATCACTGCCTTCCACAAGGATTCAAGGTAAAATGTAGTTTGTCTGAGGGTTGTCCCTTGTAAATGCAGCTGATGTTTTTCATGTCCTCATTTAGTTTGACCTTTTTTTTTACTTCAGCAGTGAGGGGAGAGGGAAAAATAAAATATTAAGGTCAGCTGTTGCGGCGATAAATCTCATATGTGACACTTTGTTTACTTCTCTGTTCTTGTTCTCTTTAACCATTTCTGGTAAAGAGAATAAAATCCTCATATGGTGATTGAGAGAAAAGGTCAAATAATCTCAACCAAGGTTTTTAGCTCAATTTAATTCCCAACTAGAATACTATGAGAGTAAATCTATTCTTGGACACATTACTTTGCACAAATTTGATTGTATTTTGATTCTTTTAAAGTCCCCCAAAGGCAAAGGCCTCCAGAATAACCTGCATTGATCTATTTGGCACGAAAATGTAATGAAAAGAAGCCATGTCACATGAGTTAGGCAGGGCGGCTTAATCTCCAGGAACACAATGACATGATGATTTCATATTTCACTTGGATGTGCAGTCTGAAACATTTGGCTCAAACTGAGAGATGCAGTACAATCAGGCAGTGTGTACATATGCAAGTGTTCCTTATGTGTTTATTACTGTGTTCATGCACATGTGTTTGGGTGTGACTATGAAATTAATTAAGAAAAAATGAGAAAAGAGGTGAGTGTGAATGTAAGTGTGTGTGTTTGTGTTTGTATGAGGGAGTGACTGACTGAGTGAACAAGAGAGAGAGAGACAGATGGGTGTAAAGCCAGTAAGCCTTTAGGTCTTCAGCTTATGGAGGTTTATGCTCATCAGATCCTTCCGCTCTCACACTCTGTGTGACATCACTCCATTGCCTCCAGGCCCCTCCCACTCCGCCTGTACACTTGTGCCCTGCTCTTCGCATGTACACGCATATGTGCACACTAGTGCACGCATTTAGAAAAGCGAAGCGAATGTGCGATTGTGCTGCCTCTCCACACCTGTCATTGAGCAAACAGTTTCAGCTGCACAAAAACTGAATGCTAGTTTTGCAAATCCATTCATCATATCAGCCAGTAACAGCCTCTGTGATTAGTTTTTTATTATTGATGAGACAAATGAACAAATTGTTATATAGATATAAGCAACAAATTAGCACAAACATAATGGGAATGGTATTTGATAGAATAATTGACGAGATTTGATATAGATAATAAATTAATTCTTTATTTTATGAGAAGATTTAAGAGCTAATACATAATTGACATAATAGTTGCCCGTGGCTATACATTCTATAGGGTGCACTGTTTCGTATTTATTGGACTTTTTAAAAATATTTATGGTACAATTTATGTATTTACTCATTCCTAACATTTAGTCATGCTTTTACCCACATAATTTCTTATTTTCGTTTTGTGATTCAGTGGCTTTGAAATTTCATTGTGCTTTGCATTTCCTGATGTATAGCTTAAATGACAGTTAAGAAAATCTTGAATCTTGAGCCTCAGTAGTCACAGATCCTTCTTTATAAACAAGAGATGAAATATAGTGTCTAATTGCAGCTGCACTGTTTGCGTTTGTTGACAGATGTGATCTGTCTGCTTCTGGCATCCTTGTTGGAAAATGTTAACTCACCAGATTTACCTAAGCTGACAGGAATGAGTATACTGAAAATTGTGCTCATGGCTTATTTTTTTAAAGAAATTGATATGCTCCCTGTCTATAGTATCAGAAAATCCTTTTCCAAGTGACATAATGCGCCCGATCTGTGTTTGCCAAAATGTCATGCTGGCAATTAGTTAAGTGGTGTGGAAATATTTGGCATGCTGCATCATTCTGTGATCTGAGGTCCTCCTTAACTGCTGTTTTCATATTTGTTCTCATGATCACAGTTTTCAGAAGCAAACTTTAAATAGATGGCAACACCATTGTAGAGTTCATGTGCTTTGAATCATGACTGAATGACTAACGAGCCTTCTAAAGGGGCCAATCTTGACAGGAATGTTTGGTAGTTCTGAACTATATTTACTTACATGTGACACACATTAGTGTAAGAAAAACATGAAAAACATGTTTGAAAATGTTTTAGAGATTTCCAGTTAAAGACTTTCAACTTTCAGACTCACATGCTTTGAGAAAAAAATTGTAGTTAAGCTGTTTTGTGCTTTCTCACATTCCAGTACAGGATATAGACTAGCAGTAGCTAGTAGTCAACGATACGATACGATATAATACGATACGATACGATATAATATGATGCGATATGATACGATACATTAATATGTGAAACAATACAATACATTACAAAACAATGTGTAACATTAGATTACAATATAGAGCAAGTATGTTATGTTACACAACAATATGATATGATATGAAGCTTTACAATACGAAACGATACAGTACAATACTATTCCATATGATGCGATACAGTACAATAAGATGTGATACAGTATGGTTGGTTACAACACAGGGCGTTACGTTGTGTTACAACACAGTGTTACGTTACGTCATGTTATGTTATCATATGAACCAATGCGATGCAATGCAATGCAATAAGAAGCAATATGGTACAGTATGATGTGATATGATATAGGGCGATATGATACGATACAATGCAATACAATATTACACAGTATAATGTGATACGGTATGATATGATGCAGTATGACACAACAGAATACAACACGATATGATACGACAACAAGGTTCGGTACAATGCAGTCTGACATGGGATGATACATTACAATGCGATACAATACAATGAATTGTATACTACATGATGTAATACGATATGATACAATATGAAACAGTAAAATACAGTGTTATACAGAATGGTACAATCTGGTACAATATGGTGCGATATGATGCAGCACAATACGATGTTATACAGTACAATATGATACAGTATGATATGATAATATAATGTACGATTGTATGATACAATGCAGTATGATGCAGCACAATGCAATACAATATGATACGATAATACAATATCATGCAGTATAAACTGAAGCAATATAATATAATATGGGTACATTTGTCTCAGACTCAGGTGCTGCACATGTATAGTTGCCTCTGTAGCAAATTGCAACCCCAAATTACACATATTGCATATTACATTACAAATGTAAAATCTGACAAAGCATTTTTCCAAACAAGCCTTTGTAAAACATACTTGTCCTTCACAATATGAGACCTTTAGGTAACTTCATGTAGTTTCTCTGTCACATATTTCCATTTGAGCATTTATATTGTAAATGACTAAATAAGAAATAAATACATAGATTTCTGTCTGTTTGAGAATTGCAGCTGGAATTCAGCACAAAAAGTCAGAATTACGACATTTTCTGTATTTGTTTGGGCATTTTCTTTTTGGCTCAATAGTATTATTACTGTCATTAAGTTTCTTCCGTCTCGTGTCTGTATCATTCCATTCAGTGCCAAAAGTTTGCACCAGTTAAGCTATTTAAATGAGCTCCCTGCCTGAGTATCAATTCACAACCACGGCTTAAGTCTAGCCGGTGCGACTGAAAGAAACTGTCACCCAATAGCGTGGGCTCCATTGTATCTGTGAAAGGCCTAAGTAGCACTCTGGGTATTGTTTTCTTTAAAGGGGAGTCAGGTTACCTTGACAACCGCAGGATGCCTACCCATAGGCCCTGCGGCAGAGAAAAGGCCGGGCCAGAGAAGGAGGGAAAGAGAGCGAAAAGAGATAAAAAAAAAAAAGGAGGCAAGATACTTCCCAGCCCCGACTTTATTTCCTTTTTCAAGTTTTTGTGTTTTGGAAACAGGCCTGATGGTTGCCAGTGGGTTGGGACGACGACCCAAGGAGGTGAGGATGTGTGTATGTGTGTGTGTGTGAGTTGTGCGTGTGCTGGCTTGTTTTGTCGCCACATCTCTGTGTCTGCTTCACACAACAACTGGTTGGTGACAGCAGTTTTGCTATAGTTCTGTTTGGTGTTTTTTTTTTTTTTCAGTCTAATGAACATGTTCAAACACAAACACAGAAAGAGCACCGGCTCAAAGGGCTTTCATGGCCAGTCATGCTGGCAATAGCATTACTCTGACATCTATTTATGCCTACAAACGTTATTGATGCAGTTCATGTGGAACGTGTGACCATTCATTTGCAGTTTGAAAAGAAACCACAATGGATCTTTGGTGTTTAAGCCCAAGTAAGAGAATGGGGCTCGTAATTGTAACAATAGAGTGGTGCAGTACCTCTGCCCAACACAGAGTCTGACAATTATTACTCAGCATGTTGCATTTACTGGTATTTTGAATGTTTTGACAGTGAGAGCCGACACCCTGTAAACAGAGGGCCATGCGCGTTGCACTCCGGCCTCGCAGGTAAGACTCAGCTTCATTAGACGACTAATCAGCAGCCAAGAATGAGCAAAACAGTAGGTAGAAAGTGACCAATGCACCTCATTTTATCAGTGCCTAGCATTAGGCTTCCCTTTCTTTAACTGAACGTGTTGATTCTCACTTTTAGCACTGACTGTTTAACCTGTTGACAAAGCACAGCATAATGCAACTGAAAGATTCTTCCTTTCACATGGCACAGGATCTCCTTCATGTATGACTGCAGGTCAACTACCACAC